AAAAATGTTGATAATGGCTGGAAAGCGAACGATTTTTCCATTCTTATATCAATTTCAATTCACGAATTTCCCTTTTCTCTTTCATTTCATATTCAAATTTGTTTCTCTTCACATGGCAGAACTAAATATCAAAGACGAGAAAACATGAAATCTCTCAAGGAAAACATCTTTTTATATACAAAATTCATTCACAAGTGACATTTGCCTTTCTATTTTTTCGTCTATTCCAATGTTTACTCATTCCGTATTCATGTCTATTCATGGGCTCAATAATTTTTCTCTCTTTTTGATTATGAAAATGAGTTTATCTACTTTCAATGTTTCTTCCTTTCAAAATCTGTAACCATCATTGAATTAAACTGCAAGACACTCGAGTAAAAAAGCTGTTTCCAGGAAAAGTCAAAAAACAGTTGACATTCAAATATTGCATTACATTAATCATTTGCTTGAGAAACACGAAAATTATTTTATCTTCTCTCGACTCCTTTTCAAAGACAAAAAACTCGCGATAATTTGACATTTAAATCGATATCAAACTCAACATTTCGAAGCTAAAAGACTCCGATTCAAAAACTTGTCGATATAAAGAAAAGACAAAAAAGTGAAAACTAATTTTAACGGTTACTCTTTGGCAAAACAGCAAAGTTGCTTAAGGAATATTTAAATGCAAAATTAAATAATTAGTCAAAGTTGAATGTAAAAGTTTTCCGTTTGAAAAGTCAATTATATTGGTTCGTTTAATGATAATGTTTTGGTTAACCTTCAGTAATTTGATAGGATTTACATATGAAATTACATATGTTTAGTTTCAAGTTTAGGTTTATGCAAATTTGGCTGCAAAAAAGGAATCAATTATTGAATAATTAGCAAATTAAAAAGTTCAAGTTTGGACTGACTTCAGTCGGAAGTTTTGCTTTTTTTCAAAACAAAAAAAAACATTATTGCTCACAGAGTTACGTTTCGATACAATGACACACTTGTGGTTGTTATAATGTTACAATGTATTGATTGGCTTATTTGGACAATCCGATCATTAGATTAGCCAAGAATTAGGAATCCAAAGTGATCACTGATCAGAATGATTATTACAAAGATAATGACAATGTTTACGACTTATTTTGCTTCTTCTCGATACTTTTGTAGAGACAAAGTAAAAAGACAGTTTCATCTCAAGTTACCATTTCCTTATTAATAGAGCAATACTGTAATGCTGATTGCCTTGCCATTTATATCCTCAAGTACTGAGTGTCACTCACGTTGCCATTATCACCATGAAAACATGAACCCACTTGTCTAACTGTTCAGCATCATGAGCATAATGATAATGATGTGGAACACAGAAAAAGTGAAACAGGAAAACTGATGGGCAAAGTTGCACGTTGTCCAAGTAACATCATTCATCTAACATGAAATAGCTTCTCATCTTTTTGTTTATGCAAACAATTAATAATCATTCCATACTTTACCTTGTTCATTACCAATAGTCATCAATAAATCCAACTGTTATGGCATGTTATTTGCTTTCATCTGGTCAAGTTTCGCACAAGAGCAGAAATAATTTTTATGAAAATCATTTGAATGCAAATATTGAAACCAACAATTTAGGAGTGAAAAGTTGAAGTGCCAAATGAAACTAGATGATGAATGAGTCAATTTTGTTAAAGAAATTTAACTTTCATTCAGTAATTGCTGCAATTAATTAATCGCTAATTGATTGTCATCAACTAAATGTTTGTATAAATAGCTAAAGGGCAAGTTTTCATGAATATTTATTACACAATTATGAATCATTATAAGATGAACAAGTAACTGTCAAGAAAATGGCTTTTTGCATAATTCACTGTTGATGCACAGAAAGGCAAAGTACGACAAGTATTGCGAGTATTTTTCCTCACTTGCGCTTGTTTGCGGTCTAACCTCAGGTGTTGAAATCCTAATATTCGTATCGCGAGTTTCAATGAATGGATTAACAGTGTTTATAGCTTTACTTTACTTTACTTAGCTAGAAAGTCTCATCTCCAATTCATCGTTTTCGACATAAACGATTGATAAAACAAGAAAAAAGATTTCGAAAGTGCCGGTATGTGCTAAGGTAATTTTTAACGCTTGAGTGAAACTTCGAACATTTCTCAATGGGAAAAGCCTTGATTTTGACAAAGTTCAGTTTTGACTTTGAATTTTCTTCGAATTGATTAAAAGCTTTTGCCAAACATTTAATCTGTGTTGGCTTGTTACCAGATTGACTCTTGAATGAATTTTGTGGCGAAATTGAGATGAATTTCATTTTTCCGAACATTTTTGTTTCATTTAAAATATTGGACTATTTTTGCACCGCTTTTAGCACTTGAAGAGAAATGCAAAGAAAAATGTCTTTATAGACGTTTCTGTCTCTGTTGAGTCAATGCTGCAAGTTTACTGGAGTTTAACGTTTTCCCTCGAGTTTGATAACTCATTCTCACCACAATGTAATAAATAAATGTGCTCATCTTTAGCCTTTTTTTTATTTCCTCATTTTGCTCTTTCAGTATTTACTTGATATACTTGACACGAAGGAAAGATAAAGATGAAGATGGAAACGAGAAAAATAGGAATATATTGAACATTTTGTTCACTTTTTTTTGTTTTTTTCTTTCTGCGCTTATTCTTTCCCTTTTTTCACTTTCCTCGAATGATATAATAACTCAAAGTGTAGAGGATTCTTGTGAAATGAGATGAACCTCAAGTCATGTCACACATTTCTGTTACTCTTGTGTCCAAAAGTTTTTGCCTTTGAGTGTCTCTTTGAGTGAGTGTTGTCACTATAAACCTTTAGCTTTGACAATGAAAAATTATCATTGAGCTAAAATTATCCTGTTTACATGGGAAGACAAGCTTTTCTGTCCAAGGTAAAACAAGGTCTTTCCAAGTTTTCCAACGCAATTTACATTCTTTACTATTATCATTTCTTCTTGCAACAATAAATTACAAATGCTAAATTTAAACATTACCAAACTTTTAACCGATAAACAGTTTTAAATAATTTCCATCTCATCGTGAATTGTTTCGAGAGACTCTTGAAACATGGTCAAATCGTTTTTGGAAATAAACTCCAAGACATTTTTCTTTTTTTCCCATTTTCCAATTTTTCTCCAAAACTCTTTACTCTGCAAAATTAGATTGATTATCAACCCACTTTACTCGACTCTCATTAACTTGATGAAGCTCATTTCAATGATAATGTTGATTAGAGTTGATTGATTTGGCTTTTGGGTTGTAAAGAGTATTCGAGCTCTTTATTGGATAGATATTTTGTCTTCTTTTTTTGATTAGCTTGAGTGTAAATCTGATTCTTATGAAACTGAATCAACTTTTTTCACTTTTCTTTTTGCTCTTTTCTTTCTTAATGAAGTTGAACTGAGGTTAGCTCAAGATGTAATGATAAAGATGATGCTAAGTCTGATGAGTTTTGATGGTAACCAAATGATATTAAAGAGAGAAAAAAGATTTTTCTCTTCATCTCTCTCATCAAAAAGAACCAAAAAAAAGATACTCTTGATTTCCCTGGCTTTTATTATTTCATGAGGTTGATGATGATGGAGCTCATTTGCATGATAACATTTATTGATAACCTTTACATTATTCTTCATTTTCATACTTTTTTCTCATTTCTTGTTGATCCATTTTACCTCTTCACTCGACGATGCCACATGAGTAAAAAGATGCAGCTCGAAACATGAGTGACACTAATAAAAATGAATGACATTGGTTCGTTTAATATTAATAGCAATGACGTTTCAGTGTGAAAAGTGATGACGAAGTATCAACTTGCAAGGGTTGAAACAACTTTCTAGTCGAAGTATAAAGTCCATGTTCCAATGAGCTGGAACGGGTCAATATCGAGTTGATTCCAATCAAAAGTACACCAACTGCCAATGGAAACTCAAAAAAACTTTAAAAATAAAGAGTTTATAAACACTCAATGACACAGAATAGGGAATGATTTTTACATGAAAATAATTGTGATAATGATAAAGTGAAAGTTCACCTTCTTTTCAAATGTTAAATTATTGCAAGATTATTACACTTTTAATGTTCAAAGAGATTTATAATCAGAGTAAAATCATATTACAATTCCAATCCATTAAGCAAAGTTGCAAAAAAACAATTTTATTTTTTTCTCGCTTCTGGAAACCTTTTTTTCCTCCCTTTTTCCCCAATAAATTGCTAGTTTTTTAAACAACTCTAACTTGATATTATTACAAGGTAAATAACAATAAAAACTAATAACATTGAAATGTTAATGTTGATCCAGAAAAGAGGGAAAATGATTCACAGCAATATTTATATAAATAACATTTACACAAACAACGATAGCCTGAGTAAATCAAAGTAAATAAAAAATTCAACTTTTTCACTCTACATCCATGAATATAAAAGTTGATCTCTACTGGTAAAGTGTTAAACTCTTAGGAATTTACAAACTGTGATAATATACATTTTTACAGTCAAACCCTTTTCCTTTTTCTCTCTTTCATGATAATTTCAACTATTCAAAAATGCTATTCAAATAACAGCTGAATCAATCATGAAAATGAAATGAAATATTAAACTGTGAAGGAAAGAGCCAACAAAAAAGATTAAATGAAAAATATTGAACCAAAGAGTTAGAAAGGTTAACCATTTTTACAAAGTTTTGTAGATGAACTTTTACTTTGAATGAATGATGAGATTACATTTCATAATTGAATGAGAAAAGTTCATTTATTGGTTGAATAACTTTTTTTCTCGGTAATTCCCGGCTCAACCAAGTTACACTTAACCTAATAGAGTCTCCTTCTTCCCTTGCCAATCAACCTGCTTACCTGCCTTGTAACCGTCAACCTTGTTACTTTTAACAACTCCCTTTGTGCAATTAACTTTAATATCTGTATTAACTCAATCGAGTAATTGTCTAATTGATTTAATTATTATATCAACTTTAAAATTTACCCTTTCAACTTTTTTTGCATCTCTTTACAGGTATGAAGCATTGTTAATGTTGATTTGGTATGCTGGTTACGTTTTTTTCATGAAGTACAATGAAACGGTTGAAAAGCATCTTAAACAATTAATCTCCCGAGGAAAAGTAAACAATTTGCAAATTAACCCGAAAATGATTCCAGTAGAGTCTCAAGAAACTGTCGGTAAAATTGTTAATCAGCTATCGACTTATACTGTAAGTGATGGTTTTACCAATTTTTGATGTTTCTATTGCAGTCAACCAACTTCAATATGCAAGTTCAAAACTGTGAATTCCGATTTCCTATCCTTAGAACACTACTGTTCGAAATTAATACAGTCATAAATTTACTGATTCACTTTTGTTGTTTCAATTCAAGTACATGGTTATTGATAAGTAACGGCACTAAGAAAATGTTACTGAGACACAGAAAGGCATCAAGTCTAAGTTTAAGTAAACAGATTAAGTTTTGCGCTTTGAGCCTTATTTTCTAGAACCTTTCAATTGTACAAATCGACTCATGAACTCAGGTTGCATATGTACAAGAAACAAGGTTGTTTTGTGATAATTTAGGATTTAGATTTGATTAATGTCAAGATGGGTGAAAAAAAGAAAAATTTAGGCTTTTTTCGGTGTCAGATGTTTTGAAGTTGAAATTTTTTGATACAATCGATGTGAAAATTGTTGGATATCCCGTGTCAGAAAACTCTTCAAAACAATAATCTACCATAGAGAAAATCGATTTGCAAAAAGCAAATTTTTTATGACGGAGGTAGTAATGATTGAAGAAATCGAATTAAAGATAGGGCATTTTTATCTGCCTCATTAGGTACTAACGCAGCATCGCATCTCCCTTTGCATACAGCAAAGCCAAGTTGGCTCATAAAATACCCACAAGGTTGCCGATTGTGAAAGAGACTACTATTTCTGTAATAAAATTTTTAATGTAAAAATATAAGAAAAACAGAACGTCAAGTGAATAGATAAATATAAATTTGTATACATACATTTCGTTGATCAATTTAATTACGAGCTGGGAAAAAAGGCTTTACTAACATTTAAATCAGCCTTTATATATAGAAGTGCCAAGTTAACACATGCAATTTCCGCAAGGTTGCCAATTGTAGTAGCGGTTACTATTTCTGAAAGAAAATTTTGTAGAAATATGTAAAAATATTAGAAAAACAGAACGTAAAGTGAATTCAAAATATAAAAAATACATACATAGAGTCGAAAAGTTCAAAGATGATTCGGGATAAAAGGCTTTACTAAAATTTAAATCTTTATTTTTATATAGTAGAGCAGAATCGGCATATTAAATCCGCTATATAAACTCGGTAATTTGCGGCTAGAGGGGATGAGACTTTAATATCAAATTCCCAACAAAAGTTATCAGCATTATGATAAAGACGATTGCTAGCTATTCCTGGAATTTTACAAAAAGACAGGTTGAAAGGAATTTTTATATCTGAGAATTAACATAAGCTGCTGTATAGGCTTATATTCCTAAAAAATTCAAATGATGTAACAATATTAGAAAAACAGAACGTCAAGTGAATAGATTAATATAAATTTATATAAATACAATTCGTTGATCAGTTCAAAGATGCTGGATAAGAGGCATCACTAGAATTTAAATCTTTATTTTTATATAGTAAAGCCCAATCGGCATATTAAATCCGCTATATAAAATCGTTAATTTGCGGCTAGAGAAGATGAGACTTTAATATCAAATTCCCAACAAAAGTTACCGGCATTATGATGTAGACGATTGCTAGCTATTCCTGAAACTGAACAATTAGGAAGGTTGAAAGGAATTTTTATAACTGAGAATTAACAAAAGCTGCTGTATAGGCTAATATTTCTAAAAAAATTCAAATGATGCAACGATACTAGAAAAAAAGAACGTCATGTGAATAGATAAATCTAAATTTATACACATACAATTCGTTGATCAGTTCAAAGATGCTGGATGCAAGGCTGTACTAAAATTTAAATCTTTATTTTTATATAGTAAAGCCGAATCGGCATATTAAATCCGCTATATAAAATCGTTTATTTGAGGCTAGAGAAGATGAGACTTTAATATCAAATTCCCAACAAAAGTTACCGGCATTATGATGGAGACGATTGCTAGCTATTCCTGAAACTGCACAATTAGGAAGGTTGAAAGGAATTTTTATATCTGAGAATTAACAAAAGCTTTTGTATAAAACTTACACAAAAAGATAGGTCAGAATTTATCTTCATTATGTCCATATTATATATATTCGGTTCTGTTTGCATTGTCATCCGGTGAATCCTCATTACTCGGCAAGTCAGATTTAAAAAGAGAATTTGAATTCCATCAAATAATTAATTGAGTGGAAAATATTTCTTTAACAACCAGTCGACAGTTTCTTCCCAATTATGAACGCAGGATCTATGATTTTTATACTTTCATTAAGGTGTATAATTATTTCTCTACTTTCGACTAACTGGACTAATGCATCATAGCATCTGTAGTAAATTTAGAAGGTTGATCTATTTTTTTCATTAATGAGAATCCCATTCTCAACAATAAAAGTTAAGTTATCGTTTGATGAGCTGCAGTTGACCTTATCTAAAACAGGTATCACTGAATATTCCAAAATTGAATAAACATGTATTAAGTTGACCAATTTAAGATGATTTGGGTCTGAAGGCTTTACGAAGTCCAATTCGACCTACATATAGCAGAGCTATGTTGGCTATGCAGGCTCCCACGAAAAGGTGAAGCTTGGTAATCTAAGGCTAGAGAAGATGAGACTTAAATGATCAAATTCAATACATTCTATCATTACATCTATACAACACAGACATGTAAGGAAAATAGATCCTTAAAAGTTGTCAACTAAGACAGAAGAAATATTTATTGGATAAACATAAGTGACCAATTTGAAGATGATTTGGGTCTAAAGGCTTTACTATCTCCTTATCGATCTTTGCATATAGCAGAGCTGTGTCGGCTAATATGATCCCCGCAAGGTGGCCAAATTTAGTGTAAAGGCTGATATTTTTGGAAGAAAATTTCAAAAAATGTAAAAATATAAGAAAAACAGAATGACAAGTAGATAAAAAAATATATAATAAAATTAATATGCGCACATCAAATTGCACAGTTTCAAGATGATGGGACAAAAGGCTTTACTTAAATTTCAATCGCCCTAGGCATATAGCAAAGCCATGTTTGCATATGCTATCTTGGCAAGGTTTCCAAATTACTGTAGTATTTCTAAGAAAATTTCAAATGCAAAAATATAAGAAATCAGAACGTCAAGTGAAGTAATAAATATAGATAGATAAACATACATTAAGTTGACCAGTTTAGAGATTGTTCGCAGATTCTCATCGCAAGACAAAGCATGTTAATTCAAGGCTAGAGAAGATGAGACTATAATTATCAAATTTAATAAGTTTATTCATAACATTGCTTCTTCCTCGTCAGCTTCATACAACACAGGCATGTTGGCCGATTAGGTTTCCGCAAAGGCAACTATTTAAAAAGAAAAAGATATTGCAATTCTAGTAATTTATTGTATTAAATGATTAATAGATGAATACATTGTGTTGACTAGGTAGTGATGATACGGATCTGGAGGCTTTTTAAACTTTGACTCACCAGTTGCATATAATACAGAGTGGCGAGAAAGTTTATGTGGAAAGGTGCAAGTAAAAGGGGGATAAATATGCGCTAGAAAGAGCGGCTAATATGAACAAATTAAGTCATCGATTTAAACTGATCAAATTTAATACGTTTTTAGCCATTTTGCGATTGATTGCTATGGTATTCATTAAATTGCAACTTGCCAGTTTCATATAACTCAGACATGTTGGATAATAAGATCCTCGCAAAGTTGCAAATTCGAGGAAACGCCGTGCTCTTGCAAGAAAATTGATTTGCAGTAAATTGTTACACTAAAGTTTTTGGATGGGATCAACGATACTGATTGTAGATAAATACATTGTGTTGACTAGGTAAAGATGATTTGAGTCTAAAGACTTCCCTAAAAATCTTGAGTGTGATGATTCAAGGCTAGAAAAGAACCAGGCATTTTTATCATTTTTCGCCTTTAGCAGGCATGACAGTTAATGTTAATTGTCGGTTAATGCTACAGACCTCAGATTTTGAGCGTTGGAACTTACTATTCTTCCATTTTCAGAAGCTTATGGCTGTCAGGTCGATAGCATTAACCTGTAGCTTTTACCTGCATAAAGGTGTAAAATTTAAAAAAACGCCTGGGACATAAATCGTGACGGACTGAGTCATTGCTACGTCACTTTCCTTATCAATTCAATTTTCAATTTTCAATTTGAAAGTGGGAAGTGGGAAGGCGAGATTGAGAAGAAAGTTGGAAACGGAAAACAGGTGAAACGTCTTTGAAAAATGATTACTCATAAATCTTTTTTCTTTTCAAACTAGGTGGACCGTAAATTTTCAGCACCAACAATGAACATCGATTCAAATAAACTACGTCCTAGTGTATTTCAAATGATGATTCACACCATTGACCCTTTGACTGACGAATTTCTCTGTAAACCTGATAGACCCAAATCAGTTGCGTCAGATCGAGTTCCAAGTATAACCAAAAGGATGAACAACCTGGAAAATTATGCAAATTTTTTGCCACCACTTGGATCAACTTTAATCTCTCTTGCTGAATCAAATTTACCCAAGTGCAGTCAGTGCCAAGAAAAGCTTGAACTGCAATCACGTTATCTCGATGCCGATACACTATCAATAAGATCAACCCTTTTTCAACAGCAACCTACAATAACATCTCAAGCAAGACAAACTGGTTCACTTCTCACCAATGTGGCAACAATCACTTTACCCGATGCAAAGTCAGTAACTTTATATGGATTGACTGGGAGTGATGTAAAGCGAAGCAGTTCATCTTTATTAGCTGATAAGGTTGTCAACATTTTTCCTTTTAATCAAAATGAATATCTTTTTTTACTTTTTTCTCTGTTCATTTGAGCCCATGAAGAAAAAAAAAACAAAGTGAAAACTTGCAACTTGTCAGTCTTTATAAACTTAAATTAATAACTAGTTTACCAAAGTGGAAAGCCTGAGAGAAGCAAAAAAGCGAAGAAAGACAAAAAAATTCACAATTTGAATTGTATAATCAATTGATTGAACACAAAAATTTTGCTCGACAGTTACAGTTTCATCATGACTGCAAGTTGAACTCGGCAAATAACCTTTTCCAGTTCAAACCTTCAATGAATCATTGGTGATGTTTAAACAAGATTCAACAAAAGAGTGTAATTTGCCGACAATTAATTTCAATATTTTGATGCAAAAACAATGGTTATGATGATGAGTGTGATTGAGTGGATAAAATTGTCAACAAGATGGATTGATGGGGAAAAAAGTATTTGGACGGAAGTTAAAAGAGTTAAACGAAAATGAATGAGAAGAAAGTTGAAATAAAAGAAATGCTGAAATTTATCTTTATTAAAAAAAAGACTTATTCATTGTCCTAGGAATTGTTTATAATCATGGAGGTGAAAATAATGGCTTTAAATGGATATAAATACATGTATATTCTCAGGTAGCTTAGAGAGGTAAACAGTGAGACGAAATGGGATGAACTGTAAAATGTAATGGAAGAGGTGAAAAGAGGTGAAAAGAGAGGAAACAAATGGTAAATAAGTGAGATAAAGAGTTGAAGGAAATGTTTAGTTTTTGTGTGAGTTTCGTGTTGCAAGATTCAGTGCAAGTTTTTGGGTGAAACAAAAGGGAGGCAAAGAATGAAAAAGTGAAGAAAAAAAATGATCAACGAAAAAAAGAGGTGAAAAAGGTTTTGTTTTTTCTAGTCGACTTTTAAGAAAAGGGTTTTTTTGTTTGAAAAAAAAAGTTTATTCCAATTGTTCAACTTGAAAAGGGGAAAAGAAATTTTGTAAAGTAATTCAAAATAAACTGATTCTTAGTTGATGCAAACTTGAAACAAAGTACAAACTGGGCTCATTTTGCTGCTGGTAATATTAATGTGCTTTCCTTGTGTATTTATTTTGTTTCACGAGCAACTACAGTTGTTGTTGCAACAAAAGCTAAACATTCAAAGTTGACTTTCTTTTGTACTTACATTTGAACAAACTTGGCCAACTTTTGCCAGTTGTAACTTTTGATGCAATTTTCAGAGGAGCCTTAGTATGTTTAAAGAAAATGTTTTGCCAAAATTGCAACAATATTAAACGATAAAAATGAAAAGAAATGAAGTGCAAATAACAGATAAAGATGGATGAAAATTGAAGAGTAAGAAAAAAATGAAAGGTCGAAAAAACGTAAAAAAATGTTTTTTTTTCAGTAAAGTAAATTGTGAAAAAAGAAACGAAAATACAACAATCTTGTCAAATGTTATTACTGTTATTATTTTCATTGAATGAAATGATCGCTTTCATTTTGTCTTTCCGGGCAAATACAAATTGTCTTTACATGATTGGTGAACATGATATCATTGCATGTAAATAGCGCATCTTGACATCGTTCAACTTTGCCTTTTCAAAATTAGAAAATTGGACAAAAATCCCCTCGCTTAAAGACTTGAAATTAGCATTGAGTCGTCGAGTAGATGAACGATATCGAGTCATTAATTGGGTTGCATTTTAGTTGAAAACAAGTTGATGCTTCGGTGCCAATTTTGATCATTAATAGTTGGTCAAAATTTGCAGAATGACATTTTAGGAATGAATAATTTAAAGGTAAGAAAAGACCGATTGGTTTTCATTAAGTGATGTGATGATTTTGTCGTGATAAGATTTATTATTTGGTTGACAAAACTGATGAAAAGACTCCATTTCCATATCATTTTGATATCAACTACATTTTGACTTATTGCAACTGTATATCCATTGTAATGAAACAATTTTTCTTTTCGTTTCTGTTACACAAATCATTTATTTCTTGTACTTGAGTCTTGCAAGACAATGTTGACTTTGATTTCATCAATCTCAATGTTAATCATTCTGGTTAATTTATTATTTCTATTCATATTCTATTCATGTGTATTCTCTTTTTTTATCTCTGTCCATGGCTTTTCTTTTTTACTGTTTCTTTTTCTTTTTCTCATCTCTTTTCGTTGCTTTCTTTTCACCATGATATTCAGGTGAAAGAGTCTCTTGAGGAAACTGCCAAGGAACCTTTGGATCTGTCTTGGCCAAATTTATGGCATAAAAGGATAAGTTATATCCTTTTGGCACCAATCATATTTCCTTTATGGTTAACTTTACCTGATGTCCGTCGACCAGTGAGTTGTCATGTTTATCCAATATTCATCAACAATGAAGAAGAAGAAAAAATGGTGAGCGGAAGAAAATTGTCATCATTAACACAATCATCACTAGAATTATTTTTGACATGAAAATGGTTAAAGTTGGTAACAGCAGTTAATATCCATTTGCTAATGACTTTATATACCTTTACAAATTGTTCATGTTTGCAGATTCAATTCTAGATTCATTACTTTGAGATATTATCTTTTAAAAGATTTCCAACCTTTCTAACTCGGCTGAATGTTGTTACCAAAATAATGTTTGTTTTGCCATTAAAGGCTATAGATTTAATAAATTCTGAAGGGGCTGAGCAAAGGGAAAATTTCAACTGGCACAGAGCTCATCAAATCCTTTTTCAACATTTTACTCGACACAAATCTGAACAACGATTCAAAGACTACATTGATATTTAGTATTGATAGTTGAAGATATAAAAAGATGCGAAGATGTACAAAACTAAGGGAAAGCATTCCTAGGCACAACGCTTTTAAAGCTCAATAAAATATTGTTGCATTTTTGTAAGTTCTATTGCTATTAATATAACATCGGTATTTCGCATAACATCGGTATAATAGCTATTTCGCATTTAAACATGATTTGATAATTTTGACCCTAGCTAATTAAAGAACTCTTTCATTCAAGATTTTTAACCGGCCATATTTTGAGGAAGAACAGTAACATATAATAAAATAGCCTAGCCCCAAGTACCTAGAAGCTTAAATGAAAATTTCCAGAGCGATCACGTACAAAAAACACTTTTTTAAATTAAATTGACATTTTATTTTAAAGAGAAAAAAGAAAAGAAAAAATAATTATGAGTAAAATTAACTGTCTTAAAGATTCACAGTCGCGTCCCTGAAATCGCCCATCATTTGCTTGAGGTAAAATGAGGCACGTCATTCAAAAGACACCAATTAAAATTGCAAGCAATATGCGTAACTCCAGTGTAGTAAGTAGTATAAAAACATACGCTTCAACTCCACAGAACGGAAACGGAAATACCTCGACTGACCTAACGGCTGACCTTGACACCGTCTTTCGATATAAATTCAATTCCAAACAAGTGCACTCATGAAGAAACTAAATTAAATTCATTCCCATTGAAAATCAATGTGAGATGTAACGATTGCTCATCAAGAAACTACAGAAATGGGAACATTTCTATTTATTTGAAATGCACTTGTATCAACACGGTATTTCAAGCTTTTAGCAAATTGATTTTTGCCTTGAAAAATTATGTGGTCATTCGTGCGGTCAATTCAAGCTTATCAGTCGTATAAAAAAATCCGTTAATTTTACTGTTTATCATTATTCTGCAGATGTTATCGGTTGTTTTCACAGTGTCATCATCAAACTGAGATCACTTTCACTCCGACCTAAAACCAGTCAAGTTCAAGTTGTGGTATTATAAATTTTCTTCATTTGCAAATTGTGAATCTTCAATAAAATGAATCCAACAACCAATCTTCATCAGAATGGGATTTTTCTGATTTGTGGGATCATCCCAAAGTTACGATTGACACCAATGATGTGGACATGGTCGACACCAACAATGATGTTCGTAATGACAATAATGTTGATATGTCCAACATGTCATCAAAGGAAAATTCTTTCGCAGACAAAGAAAACTCACGAATAAATGTAAGTTCATTCTATTTTTTCCTCTTTTTCATCTTTTTCAGGATATTGCTGCCCGTTTCGCAGGCTTCTCTCTAAGTGCTTCTGATAAGAAACAATTTTCAGAATTAATTACTAAAATGGAGCAGGTTTCCGCTGAGGAAAACAGAAAAAAAGCTCCGAATGCGATCCGAAAGAATTTACAGCTTCGCCTTCGCAACAAGGCATTTAAGTATATGGAGAGCTTAAATAAATTGAAAGCACAGCGTAAAATTCTCACAAAAATCAATAGTCAACATGCACAAAAGATTTGTGAGCTGATTGACCTCCATTTTAGGGACGTCAATCGGACAATCAAACGATACTATAGAATTGTCAAATCTTGATTTCATTTTTATCAAAAAAATATTCAATAAAATTCATTTTGTTATTACTCAAAATGTTTAAAATTTTATTCGGAAAAATGTATAAGTTATCTATCAAGATACAATATAATTTTCAATCTTAAATTCATTTTTTGCAAAAATATTCAATAAAATTACACTTCATTCAAAATTCAAATTGTTTAAATTTATTCGTGAAAATTAATATATAAGTGTTATTTCTTCTTTTAAGATACAATGTGATTGCTTAAGCAACATTACAAAAACTTGAAAGAACTGTTAAATCATAATTGTAAATGTTCATCGGAAAATTGCAAAATGTTTAATATTTTTAATGAAAAAGAACATCAAAATGACCAACAAAATGCACAACAACAACCGTGTTTTAAGTGCCCTTGCTGTGCTATATCTACTGAACTTTTACCCGAATATTTGAGCCATCAGTGCACATGTGTAAATGGTTGAGAATGAATGGATATTTTTTTCAACGAAGCACCAGCTAAAAAGGATTGCTTGAGGTGTCCATGCTGTGGCAAAGAAAGCGAATCTCTTTCAGAATATTTTTTACATCACTGTAACTGCAAAGAAAAATGTCGAAGAATGGAAATCTTTCTCGATAAGAGCCAGTAATACAAGATGCACTATCAACAAGAGCAACTCAAAAAGAGATAAAAAGAAAAGTGAAATGCTCAAAGTGCAAAAGACATTATTCATGTGGACAAAGATTGAAACTCATCAAAGAGTTTGTGGAAGTATTTCTTTGCTTAATCCACCTCAATCTACTTTTCAACCACCTTTTAAACTTGTCTATTCAGCGTTTCGCCGCCGGTTCCGTGTTTATTCACAAGATATGACGGACATGATAGATATTGACATCGTTAAAAGACAACTAAAATCAAGGAATTACTTCAAAACAACATTAATGATGTCGGACCAATTGCATTTTACTTGAATTGTAAAGTTTATTTTCAAAAACTGTCCATACTTGAATTGATTGAAGCGGATTGCTTCCTTCAACAATGAAACCTTCACTCCCCGGTGATAACATTAATAATGGAATTGAAGAAACTTTCACGGAGATTAAAGAAATTATCGATCAATACACAGAAAGGGGAAGTGGATTTACTATTGTTGACATCAGTAAAATTGATGTTTGGATTGCTCGTTATCAACCACATAGAGGAGGATGCTATCAAATTACCTGAGCAACTCTTTGAAAAACGGTGTCTACTTTCAATTTAATGTCAAACTGATTGTTTTATGTATGCCATCCTAGCCCATCTTCATAAACGAAATAACCATCCTGAAAGATTGCAACAATATGATGAATTTATCAACTCTCATGACTTGTCAAAATGGCGTGGAAATGAACTAAATATGATTGAATCATTTGAAAAGAAAAACACAATTTCAATCAGTGTCTTCACTTACAAGTACTGATGTTTAATAAACTGAATATAAATACTAGAATTGCTATTAGTATGAATTTGTAATATCGAGTGTCACCGATTAACAATGGGAATCGGTAGCATTTCAAGTCGCTTATCACGCGGTGTGGAACTTGATTACTATAACTTTTGTCCGTTTCAATAGAGGGCATCCTTTTTCGATACTTTAAATAATACATTGAAAATTAGAATAACGTATTCTGGAACGAACTTAGCCTTTGAAAAGGTAAAGGTAAAATGAAAATTTTTTAAAGCTAATAATGAAAAGGAAAACCTTTAAAGTTGTTTCTTGAATGTTTATACGACCAAGTAAAGCAAATAATTGATCAATTACGTATTCAATTTATTTACTTTGGACTCTTTGTGCAATTCAATGGTTAATGAAATAGAAACGAATCAAGTATGAATGGCGAAAAAATTGGTCAAAATGTTGACGAAAAGGAAAAGAGGAAAAGTGTGAGAAGAAGAAGAAAGTTGAAAATTGTAATGCAATTGGGTGAAAAGACATGAGAGTGAAGTGAAGAAGAAGAAGAAGAAGAAGAAAGGAAGAAAGGAAGAAAAAGGAGGAGAAAAATTGTGTCAAATAAATAGATGTTGGTGGAAAGAGGTAAATGAAATGATATAAGATTGTCATGAATTTGTCAGTTACAAAGGAAATGAAGAAGATGAGGTATGCATGGTGAAGATGAGAATACTATTTATTGGTCTACTTTGCATGGATCATGCAATATTCTTGCCATCATGTTGATCATCACCATCATCTATACTTATAAGTGCTCCTCATCCCTGTCACTCTTTTGCTTTTCTCTGCTTATCCTTCTTCTTTCCTTCTTTACTCGTTCCTTCTGTATCAATCCTGCTATTATCCATTTACTAATGCACATGATAATACCATATTGAAACATTTCTTCGGAGCAAATTATTGCCCCAAATAATGTTATTCAGTGCAACATCTAATGATGACTTTTTGATACTTTTAAAATTGCCTCCCAAAAAAAGCTGTGTGCTCAACGACATTTCAAGTTGAGACAAGAAATACAAAAAGTTATGATTTTTCTTCTTCTTTCCTCTTGAAATTATTCAACCCAAAGGTGGTGAAACAGTCTGACAAAATGTAAAAATTTGTACAAAAAGAGAGAAGAAAAGACTTGTTCCAATAAAGTCATGAATAAATCTAAATATAATTCTGGGCATTATTATGATCACATAAGAAACGAAGTTAATCGTTTCAAGAATTTTTACTATTGTCAACATTCAAATATTGTGTTGTTTCTGCTTATTAGGCAAGCGTTTTAATGTTCAGCCCGGTCAATTAGCTCATGAAAATGTGATAATCTTCAAAAGGTGTTTTCATTTTCAGGCTCGTTAACTTTAATCTCAACTAATGCTTTTACACCTTTGTTTGCACTGCTTGGTTGTTCAATTTGATTACTTGCAAATTGTATTGGTTTGATATGTAAAACTTGAATCATTATGTGAGAGGCAAAAACAATGTGGAAAATAATGAATTTTGAAAAGTTAATGGTGACTTTGTTCTTCCCTCTTTTTATTGCTGTACCGTGTTCTTGAATTTTTCACGGTACTTATTGTTTGATACTTTACTTGATTAAATTATTTTACTTTAACTTTTGATTATCTATTTCTGCTGCCGAATGAAAATTTTCAGGAAAAAAGACGTTGGTTTGTTTGCACTTTTGCTGGTTCCATTATCTGGATTGCTTTTTATTCCTACCTCATGGTTTGGTGGGCAACCTTGGTTGGTGAAACATTGGGTATTCCTTCTGAGATTATGGGTTTAACCTTTCTTGCTGCTGGTACGTCGATCCCTGATTTGGTTACCTCAGTGTTGGTGGCGAGAAAAGGCTACGGAGACATGGCTGTATCTAGTTCGGTTGGAAGTAACATTTTTGACATAACTGTTGGGTTAGTATCTTTGCAATATTGAATTATAAAAAATAAACTCGTATTGGGTCAGAGATAAAGTTCTTGTGAGACAAAACAGCTCTGTTTAACTCAAAGGTTATGTAGTCAAAAAAGTTTCGAGTTTGAATTCAAAATAATGCAATTTCAAAAAGTTTACAAAGAGAGTTTGAAAATGCTATTTGTTCTTCTCGCTCAAAAAATTCATTTAAATTCATGGATTTATTTCATTGACTATTTGAATTTTTTGAGAAATCAAGTCTCTTAGTTGGCATGAAAAGTTCCAGTACTTAAGAACGGGCACTTCGAAGCGCGACATTAAAACATGGATTGAGCGTAAAAATGATTGAAAATCCAATGTTTCTATTTTCATGAGAAAAAGGAAATTGCTTTGACTTTTGTTAGCTCAGCTTAACCAAGACAAATTTGTGACCCAGAAGGTGGAGGCTTTAAGTTGAGGGATAAAACAATGGTCAATGGTAATGTGAGTAAAGCGACAAAAGTAAAGTGTAATATGATTCTTGTCATTTGTTTGCTGTTATCCTTTAAGAAACGAAAGATGTTTATGGTGATGATCATGATGATGGTAGTGTGCAAGATGAGGATAAGGATGGTGGTGATGAGGGAAAAGGTGAAAAGGGCTGTAAAGTTGATGTGTCTGTTGAAAGGGAATATGGGTTTTGAAAAGAAAGGTTGAATAGTGATGGATGCACTTGAATCTCATGTCAACTCAAGAGAACCCAAATGTAGCTCAAATTCAATGAGCGCACCAATACTTACTCAATTACCTTATTTTTATTCTTACTTGATCTTTTCTTACTTTTTATCTTTTCTCTTCTTTTGCTCATTTTTTCCGCCTCATTTTTCCTACTCACTTCCCATTACTCTCTCATCACTTACCATCACTATCATCTTTATGCTCATCTTGATATTCCTATTCCACCTCATCTTCTCTCTTATTTTTCTTTTTCACCTTAAATCATCTCATTTTTTTTCTCTTCCCTTGAAAGCAAACCTTCTCCTCAGAATCAATGGTCCTTTCTCATTGACCAGAAAAAAACCATTCAATCAACATCCATCTCAAGTTTATTACCTTGAGGCTGTAGCAGTTTCATCATTTTAACCGGTTAATACTTGTCTCTTTCATCAATTCAATATTTTGAAGTGAAAAAATGAAGATAATATGATGAAGGTATAATAAAAGAGAAAAATCTTTTTATTCAATCAAGCAACATTATTTTATCATTTTCAAAGTTGTTCCATTTTCTGCAAAATTTTTGTCCAACAAATCGACAATTTCTCATCCCTTTTCACCATCCTTTACCAGTTTCCATGTCATCATCATCTCTCTACGTGACTATGATGGGAATCACAAGTGACTAACTCTTCAAGTCAATTAGTTTTTGTTTTTTTAACAAGTCAACGAAATCGCAAAATGTTGATAAAAAAACTCTTATTCAACCCGGTTGGTCGATTACGATCCTTGAAAAGCCTACAATAAAAGACAAAACAAAAACTCGAAAAGTTGTTTAAGATAAAAATGAAGTAAACATTGATAAAACTTTACAGTCACTTGAGTCCATTACCAAAAGTGTTCAATGCTCTAATCAAGTATCATTCGGAAATTTTCCTGTTATTTAATTTCTGTTGAATTTTAATTGGAAAAACTTCAATTCCATGAATCGTAGGCTAAACTTATTGCATATCAATAAATCAACCGTTAACATGAAAAGATTTTCTCTGGAATTCGGAAATCAAAAGTCGACTTGATGAAGAGTGATTAGCAGTTTCGTCACTACAAGACATAATGCTGTAATCCAAATATTGAATCCTCATGAATTGCTGATGAGAAGAGAGATTTGCAAAGAATCGAAAAGAGTAAACATAAAAAAGGATTCAATTTCCCCTTTAAATCAATCCCAAGTTGCTAAACATTTGACCAAACTCCAATCAACTGGCGATAAAATTACTATTTAAAGTGAGAAAAAAACTTTGAAATAGAAAATTCGGGGAAATTCCACCATTCAGTTCATTAATACTTTTTTCTAACCATTACAATCAGAAATGACCTCGGAATGCAAAACATTTTTTAGCAATTCATCCAATCAAGCGATTGACAGAAAAAATATCAAATTCATTGCTCGTTTAAACTCAAGTTTCAACAACTTTTGCATGAAAAGAGTTCAAACTTAAACCTTGTAAATGTTGAAAATGGACGCAATGATTAAATTATCTGAAAAGGAATTGAAACTTTCCATGTTTTCTATCGTCGTGCCAACAGTTATTTATCACTAAAAGAGTGAATCTCGCTTCTAAACTGGAAGCAATTATTTTATCATCAAAGTGAATCTTGAAAACAATTATTTCGTTTTTATCGTTGAATCTCAAGAAACCTGAAAACTTAGCATTTAAAGGTTATCATTTATCTGAATATCAATGGAGCAAGGAAAACAATCTGAATAATTGTATCGATCAGTTTCACCTTAATGGATGAAACTGTAATCAAGCTAATGAGCAATGAAAATTTATCGTCTTTTACTATCCATCAATTACATTGGAAAATTATGTTAGTTAAGAAAAGAAGAAAATTCAACTTTTTAATTGAATTCAAACACCTAGACTGTCTGGTAAATAAGTTGAACGAAACTCGAAAAGAAAGGGAGAAAAAATGATTATCTGAAACTGGCAATCATGACTGATTGAAATGCTATCTATTATCATGTAAGATCTTAATTTATCAGAAAAGGATAACAAAGTAGAAAATAAGATTGAAAGCTTTTTCGTTGCCTTTCGAGACAAAGGTGGAGTGAGGTTAGAAGAATTATTTTTTTCCCTTTTCTCTTTCATCTTTTTTCATCATCTTCAGCATTTTCATCATCATGTTAACTTGGAGTAGCAGACCAAGGAAATAGAGTCTTTGAGTGAAGAAGAAGAAGAAAAAAGTTCATGGAAAGAGTTGATTCATATACAGATGAAAATTATCTTGATTCATGTTGGTTTTGGAATGATGAAGTTTGCAAAAGAAGGGAAAGCAGAAAAAAATCTCATTTTTCATGAAGAGAAGAGAATAAAAAGCAACTTTTTCATTTTGCTCTTCTCTTTCATTCTCCATGAAAAAGAGAAAGAAAGAAAATGATAAACATGATGTCGAATGAAACCTTTTCCTGAAAGCTCACTTTTCCCTCTTATTTCCAACTCAAAAGTATACTTTGAATGAAGTAAAAAACAAAGGCTTGAGGCTTGAAAAGTTCAAACAAATTTTCTTCTTACCATTTCCATCAACTTATTCAAGTGTATTTACTTCATCTGGTCATGTTTTATTTTTATCTGTTTCATATCATCATATTATCTTATTATTTGAGTTGAAAAGTAAAACACACGAAGAAAAGCATGTATTATTAATAACAACAAGGATAATGTTTTATCATATTTTAAGAAGGAAAAGAAAAAGCGACTTGAAGAGAAAAATTTTTCAACCAATTTTTCGTTTCACTTTACCATTCTTTTTGGGCATCAGAAACAATTGCATTTTAATATTTACCCTTTCAAATTGAAAAGTCTGTGTACCATGTACATGGAATGCTTTCATCATTTCTATTAATTAACTTGTGTTGGTTTAGCAGCTGTGGAAAGAGTAACTTTTCTGCTCAGAATTGAGTTTTTCATAAAAGTCGATTGTTTCAGTTGATTTGGAAGATTTGGCTGAAAGAAGGATAACAGAAATTGTTTTATTAACATTATTAGCAGTAGTAAAATAATAATATCTGATAATAAAATAAAGTTCAATATTATCTTGAAATGATTCCCAGATCATCTTTATTTATCCTGTTAAGGTTATTATCATTATGATGATGTGTATTATTTAATGTATACCTTGAGTAAAGCTGTTGGTAACTCAAAGTTTCATCTTTTTTTCCTTCTCGTCCCAAGACTAGTTGTGTATTCCAAAAGAGTTGAAATGATTTCATTTGCTCTCTTTTCATTCTCATCATTTTCTTGCCAATTTTCTTCGTTTTTTCAATTTTTGTCTCACCTTTTCTCACCATCTTCTTTAGAGACATCTTCAACTTGAGTCGCCTTCTCAGCTCATATTATCACTTTGAATTCTTACTTTCCAGTCTTTACTCCCAGTTCTCACTCCCAGCTTCCCCTCCCAGTTCTATCTCTGTTCTCACTCCCAGACTTTACTCCCAGTTTTCGCTCGCAATTCTTGCTTCTAATTCTTACTCCATAATCTTACTCCATAATCTCACTCCCAGCTTCACCCTCTGTTCTCAGTCCCAGTTCTTTACTGCAAATCTTAGTTCTATTTCTTGCTCCACGTTTGCCCTCCCAGCTCCCCCTCCCAGTTATCAATCCCAATTTTCCCTCCAAGTATTTTTTCAAGTCTTGCCTCTCAGCAATTCCTATGAGATATCGGCAGGGGTCGAACTCGAAAACTGTGTTTATCAAGATGGCAAAAAATGTATATCTCAATGTCTATTATTATTTCTGTTATTGTTTTTCTTTTCCTTATTTAGAATAACTTTTTTTCTTTCAACATTTTGTTTTTTTTACTCAACTCTAATATAAACTTTGCACATTTCTTTTTTCCTTCTCCCAACACTCTTTACTCATCATCAATATCTTCTTGTTTCAGGGTTCAATGATTGAAAACTCTTTTTCTCTTCTCCCTTAACCATTTCATCCTGTAGAATAGACTTGAATCATATTTTGCTTGAGATTGATGATGAAAAACTTTTGTTACCTTGTTAATATTGTCGCTCATTTTCAACTCTCTCAACCATAAAACTGTAAACTTGCTCCATCATTATCATTTTCATTTTTATCTTCACATTCTCAATTCCTTTTCCATGGTTTCCTCCTCATCATCAATCTCGCAACCTTTTCATCCTCTCATTGTCTTTATCAACATCTGATTAGATTAATGGTGAATAGCAACTGTAAAATAAAATGGTTCAACGGAACAAACAAGCAAAAAGTAAAAGCAGGGAAAAAAGTAACTCAAGTAAGATTGCAATGAAAAGTAAGACAGTGAAGAGCAAAAAAAGCTACAACTTTTTTTTTCGTACAATAATCTTTTCCAATGCCTAATAACTTGCAATTTTGCGAATCACAACAATATCAGTGAATGAAGAAGGGAAGGAAATAATGTTGATAATGTTTACCATGATGATGAATGCAAAAGTTGAAGAAGAAATTAAATTGCTTGTATCGAAGTTCAACTTTAAATCAGTTGAACGATTCCAAAACGTTTGACTATCAAAATGTACATACATTAAGAGTGATACAAAAAGAGGGTGAAAAAAGTAAAATGTAAATTACATTTGATGTGAGAAGCAATGAACAGAGTAAATATGCAAAAAGTTTTACTCAATCAGTTGAAATGATAAGTCGCGAAATTATCTTGATAATTGCAAAAAATTGACTCGAAAAAGTCGAAAGTTGAAACATTTTTTTTTCTTCTTCTTCGACTTTTTGTCCCTTGTTTGTTGCTATTTCATTATGTAAAAGCTTTCCAACTTTCATTCAATATACATAAGTATTTATATTGCTTTTACTCACTTTTTTCGACTGTGTTTAACTCTTTTCATCTTGCAAGTTTAACTTCGTTCAACTTTTTCTTCTCTTGACTCTACCTAAACCATGATTTTCATTCCAATGATATTATTGTGATGGGAAAAAAAGGAAGAGAAAGCAGGACGAAAAAGAGGAAGAAAATTAACCAAGCGAATAAAATATTCTCGTTGCAATTTAACCTTCAAATCATTTTCTCCTCATTAAATATTACAGTCAATTTCAACTGGAAACTGAGCATTAACAAAACTCACTGTCACTTAGTTTTATCCTGCTATTCAGCAGTTTACTTTCTCTTCAAAATTTTACATCTTTGCATCAACACTTCGCTAGATTAAACTTGAATACATCAAGATTGCTCATCAAAACTCGAACAGGAAAAAAGAGTAAAACAAGGCAAACAACGGATAAGTTATTATAAAACAAATGATAATGGCAATAATAATGATAAAATTGAGCTGATGAAATAACAGAGAGGATACAGGAATAGCAAAAGAGAAATAAAAGTAGACATTTTTCATTGACACAAATGTTTAATTTAAATTTTGTTTTTACTCTTTTCTATTCAGATTACCTTTACCCTGGTTTCTCTATACTCTATTCAAAGGCTCGGTCAAGGTAAACTCAAGTGGAATGGTTTGCTCTATTTTAATTCTCTTCATGATGCTTCTTTTTCTAATCATCATTATCCCGGCTTTCCGTTGGAGACTCAACTTTGGACTGGCAAGTGTCATGTTTGCTCTTTACTGGGCATTCATTGCAGTCTCACTTTTACTAGAGTATGGCGTAATCAAATGTGCTGACCTCATGAGCTTCCTTTAATTATGAAAAAACTAATGTAAACTCACGATAAGACCCTAATGTAAAGCCATAGTCAACCTAAAAGGTTGACCCAAGCTCCACTAAAAAAGTCTTTGCACCGAGCTCATATCCAGTTAAAATATACTCTAAAAGATCTCATGTGCAACCTGAAGGGCTGACCCAAGCTGCACTGGCTAAAGTCTTTACACTGTAACCTCATCATTCAACTTTGCACTAAGCTTGCAACTCTTGATTCATGAAATCAATTGTGCTTTTCTGGTTAACATAGACTCTCATGTTCAACCTAAGAGGATGTGTCCCAACAGCATTAGCAAATATGTTTTCCCTGGAAATATATTTTTAACCTGGAATCGCCTTTTTGTTGTCAAACTTATCATTTTTAATAATGTTGCATTTTTGTTATACTTTTGTCAACCCAAATTCATCATTTAACCATAAAGCATCATACAGTTATTGGCAAAGTAAAATGCGAATTGTAACTATTTTTGAAGTTTACAAAGAATTATCAACATCATCACAATTAGACAACGAATGCATTCTTATGCTTCCTTATTTATCATCATTAACCATCATCTACCATTTTGAACTCAACATTATCCACTCAAAATTTGTAACCCTGCAACATTTACGTTTCAGCTTTTCTTTTCTTTTTCCTTCTCTTTCTCTCCTCTTTTCACCCTGTCTTCATTTCTTTCACTTGACACTTTGTCTTTCACCCAATCTAATCATTTGTCATTCTCATCTCTTCATCTTACATATTTTTCTCCTCACTTTTCCCTCTCTTCCATTTATCCTTTTTGTTCGTTTTCCTCTTCTTCTTTTTCCTTCTTTCCTCACTTTATCCATTGTAATAATACTTGTGCCCTTTTACTTGCTCTATTTGTATACAACTTTTTTGTTCGCATCATCATTCATCATGCAACCTTTGCTTTTCCCATCACAAGTTTACAATAAGTTGAAATAAAATTCATGATTGAAACAATTGATCAGTTTCAATATTTTTTCTGCTCATTTGCCAATTCTCACTTAACTCAAGTGCACCCAAGTTGAAAGAAAGACTTGGAAAAATGGAAAATTTTTGCTTCCATTCTCAGTGTTTTTCAAATTTATTCTTGATTTAATTTAATATTCTCAGCTAATCAACACATTAAAACATAATTTTCAATTTGTATCTTTAGCGTAATTAGGTTCGCTTGTTCAAGCTGCACTTAATTGTTTATTGAACATCTTTTTCCAGAACAGAATAAAAAAGTGAAGTTTAAGCAACATTTTAAACATCAAGTCAAATTTAAATTATGCTTTACATGATGAGACATAATTTCTCGTCTGACAAATCGAGGAGACATTTTCCTAGTCATTTTTAATTTTCATGTCAAGATGATAATTGTAGTAATAGTTGACTCGACAGTTTACCTTTCACTTTAAATCATCTTTGATGACCTAACAATATTCAGGCAACTTGCCATTCATTTCATTTTTTGTTCTTTTTTCCATGATTCTATTAATAACCATTATCATTTTCATGATTAAATATCACAACCCAAATCATTCACATAAAGCTAGCCAATTATCTCATCACAATGATAAGTTGAACATTAATGTTGTGAACATAAAGACAGTTAACACGATTCAACAGGAAACATTAGCATTTCCAATACAAATGCCACCAAATGTTCAAAAAATAGCAAAAGATTTACTGACTTTAAAAACGACACAAAACATACAAAATAATCATGAAATGATTACAAAATTAAAGCTCAGTGTGGCAAAATAACCATTCACACGTAACCGTAAGTAGCTTTTTTAAATGCCTCCGATATTGAATGTTTATCGAATTTAAATATCTTCATACTCAATGCAGCAACGAGACTTGAGGTTACATATAATCATTGTCAGTTCATTAATTGCAATATTGGATAACCTAAAGATTATGTCTCTAAATTCACTAGAGCAGCTTTTACCGAAACTTTCTGCTTAACCTTATTTTTTCATACTGACATACAGTTGTTTTCACAACAACGAATTAACTTTGTTACCTTTGGAAAATGAAGAGCTGATTTGTGCTTTGCAAACAGCTTTGAACAATTTTTATCGAACAAAATACAAACCTTTGCCGGTCTTTTTATTTCTCATACTACGAAATTATCCAATTTTTTATCAAGCTGCTTTCGAAGTGCTTCAATCGTTTCGATTAAGAACCTTACAATCACAGCTCTACCAGTTCTGTTCCAGGAAAAGTAAGGAATCGGGAACTCACAGTCATACTTTCAAATTCACAAAAATACTTTACTTCTAACGTGGCTCTACTGAGAAAAGAGGCTGAAGGAGCTTCGAGTATTGACTTATAGATATGCTTGTTTTAGGTTGCTCTTTACTCTAACACGGCATTCAAGGCTCCTGCATTAAAATATTTTATCGACATCATAAAATTGTATGAAGAAACTAATCAAATTGGAAAGTTGGTAATGAAAATGAACAACCCTACAACAGCATTTAGGTTTCAAAATAATAAAAAAATCGAATTTCGAAACAGCAAGCTTAATCAATCAATTTAATCAATTAAGTCTGCAATAACCATTTATTGGTAGTAAAACAAGTTTATTTAATTTTAATTACAAAGAAAATAAATTGATTCCAAGTTGAACTGCCTCATTTAAAATGCGAAAGCTGGTTTTCATTAATGAAAAATAGTTGAACCTGGAAATATTAAATAATAACTTGAAAAACTTAATGAAAGGCTCCATGAAAATGAGCTGAAAGGAATTCAAATTTTTAGTACTTTCCATCCCACAATGTTATTACCTTAATGAATGAAAAGTTTCCTTGCAAGTCTACCATGCTGCTCAGCTGGTGAAATTCAATATTGTTTAAGCTTTATTGTGTTCATTGAAAATCAAAATGTTGTTATTACAATAAGATAAGCTCATGGTATGATTTTTGACACCGAGTTTTGATATAATATCATTCTTGTTTTGGTGCATATTCAGCTTTGAAAGGTAATTAAAATCGATAATGCAGTTTAGCCTTATTAGCTTTGATGCATCAATTAAGCTGAGGAAAAGGGGTGAAGGAAAAAATGGAAAAAAACAAAAGTTTCACTCTTCTACAGATTAATTGTGATTAAAGTTTACTCTTGTTCATCAAGTTTATTATTTTAACCGAAAACTCATAATCATTATCATGGATGGAGAAAAGTTTATCATGGTGAAAGATGAATAGACAGCATTTTATTTTCCCCTGAATACTCATAATCCAATTAGACTAATCGTTGTACTTTTAATGTTCAATGAAAGTTAAAAATTGTTGATGCATTTAATTGCTCACATGAATTATGATTTAGTGGTAATGAAAAGAAGAAACAAAACTAAGAGAAAAAATTAATGAAAACTTTCAACAATGTTTCAATTTTAATTGAAATATTATCTTCTGTCAGCAATTTGTTCACCAGGCTCACGCAAAGATTCAAAAATTTCGAGCCATAACAAGCACTCAAGTCACTTTGAATCAACAGAAACATCATTCAAGTCTTATTGATATCGATATGCAGGACTTCCCAAACAATAGGTTCTGGGAGCTAATCAATCAAAGATAATTCGGTTTATCTTCAGATCATAGCAGTGATCCCGTTTGGTGCACAAATAAAACTTGTACTTCGAACTGTGTTGGAGAAAAGTTCAAATTCGAAAACAAATCAGAATACTTTTTGCGAGATTGCCTTTCGATCATCAAGATTCTCGAAAAACTAGCTAACTAACAATCAATAATGAAGCCATTCTTTCAACCTTATATGAAGCTCTTTCTGGGCAGAAAGTATCAGAGTATGGAGACCATCAAAAAAGTCACCTAACATTATTCAAGTGTGTCGGTTGGTCAATGAAGGTTTCATTTTGTTCTTGAAGTTGATTCCCGTCTTGAAGAGAAGATTTTGTTTGATATTTTTCCCCAATCGATACTTTACTTTAAACGAAAAATGATAATGATTAGTTAATTGTTTAACAAGTTGCCATCAAAGAGGCTGGTTAAATCACATCTCAAGAGGAAATGATCAATTACCATAAATTAAACTGCCTAAAATGAAAGAAAAGGTTTTTTATTCTTTTTTCCTTTTCTCTTGAAACTTTCATCTGCACCATATTTAACATGATCATTATCATTTTCTTCATCTTCATCCATCAAACAATCATCAACTCTCATTGACTGTCAAATTTAATGTAAACCAATTGTCTACAAACCATTAATTGCTTTCAACACTGAATAATAAACAAGTCGAATGAATAATAACAGAAGATATTTTTATTTAGTCATCTTTTTTGTCTTTCAATTTAAAATTTCCATTTCACATTTGCTTTCATGATGCATTTCAATCATGAAATTTTTTCCATCATAAACTTTACAAGCTCAATAAGAATTGAAGTTTGCAGTTTGAACGCGAAACAAGAGAAAGAAAGAAAAACCAAAACTTGAGTCCAAATGAGTCGATTTTTTGGTCAAAATTTTTTTTCCACTTTTGTGTGTTTCTCATTTTTCGTAGTCATTAGAGATGAAACGAGCAAACTGACGATAATGAAAGTAATGCAGTTTCTTAATGAAGTTGATGATGGCGATGATTACAGGGTGAATCATGATGAATGATTTTCTTTCAAAATTGATCGATGTATGAAGAGGGAAAATAGATGGTTAAAGGTGAGTAAAGAAGAAAATTGTTTTTTTTTCTTTTTCCAAGTCGAGTATTGTTCTGCCAGAATCGTTTCACTTTAGTTTGCTTTCCATTTCATCAGTTATCGTCAGTTAATATGTACATTTTTGTATTCAGGGAATCGTTACAAAAGAAGACACAAAATAATTTCTCTTTTTTATTCGCTTTCTTCGTCTCACCTGGAAGAGTTGCTTTCATGGCAATTGTGGGCACATTTTTTGTTGAGTTGTATCTTTACATGATTGTTGGTTGATGAATGTTGAACGAAAAATGTGCTTCTCCAAAAATTAAACGCTTTTTATTAATATTTTGCCGTTGAATTGAGATTGGTTATCATCGAATTGATTGAAAGTCTTTGACAAAACATAACCAAGCGGGAAGACAAAAGGCAAGGCAACAAGTTCTTATAAGTAAAGGTAGAAAAGTTGATAGAGAAATATCATTGCCAAAGTGAACTATGGATTGATGATAAGTTGATATAAATTGTGAGGTAAATAGATTGAATAGTGTCAATGAGGGTGAACTGTTGATTAAACTTTCTGCACTTCTTTTACCATGTTGCATGGCAGCCGGTTGACCACCATTGTTGAGCACATGAACGGCAATGTGAGCTGAATCAGCATTGGATGGGACACAACTGTAGTTACCTGAATCACTGGGAGTTGCTTTGTTTATTGTTAATACCGAAATGGCTTGAGCTCGCTTCTCCAATTGTACCTTAATCTTACGAGGTGAATTATAATTGATTACCTGAAAGAGAGTAGAAAATGAATATTTGAAAAGAATTTCGTTGAAACGAGAAAAGATACAAAATCAAAGTTCTACTTACTTCACCATTGTGATACCAGAATATAAAATCAGGTGGACCTGGAGCACCGTCGACTAGACAGGTTAAGTTAAGTGTACTATCACTGTTAAAATAAATTGTTGGACTTCCGATTATTTTGGCTTGTGAAACTGTCGAGAATAAAGTGAAAATAAAAAAGACGAAAGTTAGAGTTGAACCAAATTTAAAACTATTCAAACGAAAGCAACACTTGATCAATTTAGTTTTGTATTGACGCGAAGTCTTGAGAGGAATTCGATTGTTTTTCGAAACACAATGATCAACTAGACATTTGGTGGTAAACAAAACACATTGAGTCAGTGATTTAGACTAACTTTTTATGAACTCTTAATGCTTAATAACAATGCAAGTTCCCTCGAACTAAAAACGTTATAAATCATTGAGAAATTGTTGGCACTCATTGAGAAGAAACGAAAATCTATTTTGAAATGGTTTAAAGTTTCTTGTTAAAATGCGGTTTTGAGGCACATAAACGATTTTAATGTTTGGAAATAAAAACATCAACTGATTCCATTAAATTGTTAGCTTACTAGAACCTTGCTCAAGGCTCTTTTACTATTGATTATAAACTTTCAGTCTGATTCTTATTACATCATTTTCCGACTCTTGTCTAGAACTAATAAACTTCTTGAATCTTTTATTCAATTCCTTTCCATGCACTTCAATATCAATTGGCAAATCTTTTTTAATGTAAAGAGACTATTTTATTGTATAGAAAGTAATTTCATCAAATGTCAAAACTTTCAAAATGCTTCAATTCGAATCTCAAATGTTTCCGGAAAAACTCGAGTTTTCATGGTAAAATACTTTTCGACAAGTTATATTTCCAATCAATCATGCTTTTTAATCGATAATCACTGGCTAGACAAAGATTAAAATCATCACGTAATTGAAGTAAAAGACAATGTGAAACGCCATGTTCAATGTTTTATTGAATTTTGGGAGACAAATTGGAAAGTTCATCAAGACGAAAATTACTGTCAAACCAACAATTACTCAATGAAAAATCAATTTTTCGTTCAATTAACAAGCAACTAATCGATAATTGGCAATCTCCATATTACTCGACAACCATTTTGCAAGCTATAATTTGGCCACAAAAAAATGCCATTCAATTGATCATTTGTTCATTATTGGCTTTGTACACTTTGATTGGTTCCTTTGTTAATCCTGAATAGTCTGGTTAATGGCAACTTACCAACAACATTTAGGCTAACAAAGAGGCTTTTTGGTGGACTCGTTGATACTTGACATTCATAGATTCCTGCATCACTCTTAGAAGTATAACCAATTTGTAAACTCCAATCATCACTATTTTCCATGTGAACAGCTTGAAACCTCTGATCAGGTGTATAAGTGTATTTACCTACTGTTAATACATTTAAATCACGTCTTCGAATCCATGAAACCTGTCAAGGTTTGAGAAAAGGCAAAATTGATTAATGGAACAAAATTCAATTCTGGTTCAAAGATTGGGTCAAAAGATTGAAATTTTGCAGATGAAAATGAAATGAATATTGGAATGGGAAAAAAGTGAAAAATTGTTTAATGATCAACTGAGAGGTTATACAAGCTTGGAAAATTGTTTAACTGGAAATGAACTTTAATCAATATTTAAAATCAAAATGAGTCTAAATGGTGAAATGAAAAGGTGAATTTGTTTGATCGCTTGAAAAAAAAAGAGTTGAAAAATGTTTGAACGTTTTTTGAATCAAAAATTATCATCTGCTTCAAGTGAACATTTTTCATTATATCAATGTGTATACATTTTCAATTTACATATTCACATCTTTGCCATGGAATAAATTAGTAGAACTGAAGAATTGCCTTTTTTGCCTGTTTTGGCCTCGTATTATTTAATCGTCTCACTCTGTAAACTCATTTGACTGATAAATCGTCATGGGAATTGATGAGTTAGACAATGAACCTTTTCAGCTGCAAACAAACTTTGAAACTGAACAGTGAATGAATGAAAGTCAAATCATTCATTTTTTTGCAGTTGAACCAAACAAAATGCATGAAAAGAACTTGAAACACTTTTTCATATTTATCATGTGAAAAATGTTCTAATTACCATGTTGACCAGTTTCAATGCTTAATCTTTTATCGATTGGCTTGAAATCACATGGCTTTGAAAACATGAAACATCAACTCGAATCACTCAATCGATTATCAAAAGCGATAATCTGAATCATTATGGAAATTATCTAATAGTTTATCATCATGAAATCAAGAAGTATCTTTTCAAGCTCAAATGACATTAAAAAAACTTTTAAATACAAGTTTTGTGAGATTCGATAGTTAGTGATTCACGAAAATGGATGAAATTGCAATTAAAAACTTTACTTTTGGTTAACCAAATTGTAAGCAAATAAACAAAAAATTATACTTTTATAACAATATAATGTTTGGTTAATGATGTGAAAGCTAAACAATATCAACAAAAGTAAATATGAAAACTGAAAAAATATTTACAAAATCTAATAAATCTAATTCGAAATGAAATATCTTTTCCAAATCTTTGATCATTTTTAGATCTAGGATCGATCGATTGCTCATTTGACAGATACTAAAGGCCATTCTCAAGCTTCGAGTGCAAATGAAAAGTGGTAAAAGTGGAAAATTGTTTCTGGTATACAAGAATGAAAACCCAAAGAATTTTGAAAACAAAGGTTTTTCAATGTTGAAAATAAAATAGGGTTTAATGTTATATTGTTAAAAGTTGAAGTGATATTAGATTTGAGTAAAAATGCCCGTTTTGCGCAATGAAAAGTCCAATACCAAAATTAGGAAGAGTTTGGGAAGGATTGACCGAGGCTGTGGCCGAGGTTAATAACTCAGAAGACAAAATGGGCGATGATTTACCATGACTAGAGCTAGAGACATGATGGAAGAGACTAGAGCTTCAGTAACTTAGGTACATTTTTAAACTTTAGTCCGAGGCGAATTTTATTAAACTAAACTTTACTATTAGAAGTTATTTTCCATTCCATATCCAAACTTAATTGCTACAACTCGTACAACTAAACATTATAATCTTTTTCCTTCTTGAGCAGATACCTGCTGAGTCTTCAGCTCGTGATTGGGCTTTTGCTAAGGACTTGGTCTCGCTAATCATACAATTCATTTGTAAATAAAACTTGATTTAAATAATGTTAAATCCAACATTATCAAGGTTTCTGGTACAGGCCGCAATTTTTTATGCCGCTATGAAAGACTACCAAGAAAAAAGTGGCACAACTTTGAAAGACTGATTTCTTGGCCAGTATCTGGCTAGATTACAGTCTTAGAAAGAATAAGTATTAGAGAAAGCGATTTATAAGGAGATTTGTTCCATCCAATTGTAATATTTATTGGATTGGGTTGAAACAAAATTCATGGCTGGACTCAAGTTGAAAGGCAATAAAAAATGGATGAACTCTTTTAAGGAGAAACAGAGGCAAAAACAAGGGAATGAATGCTAATTATCTGAATAAACTGAAGAAAATTGATCAATTTATTGACTAACAATTTGACAATCATTTCATCTTTAACCGACTATCAATGTAAATACAATTGTTGCTAAGTGACGATTGAAGGGAACCATTTAATTAATTGAATTGAATAAAATCAATAGAAATCTGATTATATTTAATAGGTTCATTAGGAATTGGGTGAAAGAAAATGCAATTTTATTCGGAATATCATTTGTTGGTTTATACAATTTATACCCCAACCTGATTGAATAATCAATTGTGATCGAAAAAGAATATCGAAAAAGAAAACAAAAAGAAGGAAAAAAATATTTTATTCTCGATTAACAAACAAAGTATTACAAGTAAATCTGATGCATGAGAAAATCAAAATTGACTAAAAATTTTCTCCAAAACTTGAAACTCTTTAATCTCATAATTTGCAAAAGGCTCACGAGCATTATAAATGCAACATCAAGATTGATGAATCCAGAAAAATCAAAAGTTTGGTTCGAAAAAACAGAAAAATTTCATTAAATTTGGAAATTTAATTTGAAACCTTTCACTTGGATTGTGTTTTACCAGGTAAAAGATGAACAGACACAAAAAAACTAATCAACATAAAGTGATGTCTTTTAAATATTACATTTGTTTTCAATTGAACTTTGCAGAGTTTGATTCATGAAAAATGGTTTCAACTCGATTGATGGCTGTAAAGGGTGAGGCTTGGGCTAAACTGGATAAGTTGTCAAATGTCCAATTTGACAGGGAAAAAAAGAACTTCAGGTTTACAGGTTCAAAGTGATTTCGATAATTGAGATGGAAATTTGCAGCGACAAGAAAATTAAATTGAATAATGAATTTTGCATGCTCTTCTCTATTCAGGGAATCCTGCTTTTTCCCTCTGTAAATACATTAGATGATAAAGTTTAAGTTATGAAACAAATTGGTTCAAATTAAAGTAAATGGGAGTTGAAAGTTATTGAAATGATGAAGAGTAGAGCCGAGTCAAGGAAAAAGAGAGTTTCATTAATTTTACATTTTACTTTCCCTGTGCAACTGTAGTGTTCAAGATTTTACTTCTTTTCCGAAGAGGAAAAAAACGAAGAGAAGGAAAAATGTAACATGAATTGAACAGCAATTGGAACAAGAGGAAGACATGAAAAGTTCTGTTAACTATCAATGTTTGGTTATCTTGACTGTTTTTGTAAATTTAATTACTGACTTGATAGTAAACTTATTGGACCATGAATGTGGTGAAAACTTTTTACTCTGCACTTTACCATTTCATCTTCCCTTTTATTTTGCATTATACAAAAGTAATTCACCAAATTAGATTCTTAAAGAGTGATTAGTGAGTGCCAAAATACTTTCAACAGGGTAAAGGTTCAAGTAAGGCGAGGGAAAGGTGGCAAGATGAAATGGAAAAGGTAAGGAAAAAATTGCAAGAAAAAGAAAAGTTGTAAACTCTATTCAGATTATTTCGAGATTAATACATGGAAGCTCATTAATTCGCAGTTGCAACTTGCAACAGTTAGCCTACTACACTGTTCTTGATTAGCTTATTAACTTTAATTACAATATAAAAGTTGAATGTTGTTTTGCAAAATATTTTCGTGTGTTTTCGAATGCCAATCATGCACAAGAGTTACTACATTTTGCTTTGAAAATTAATCGTCGTTAGGGTTGCAAACAAGTACTTTAGCATTGTTCAAGTCTTAAACTTCTTTCGAACGCATGATTCGGACAGTTGAATACGGAAATATTTTACTTAAACAGCAACTTAAGTGCAATAGAGCATTTTATGCATTAAAAAAGAGAAGTCATTCAGAACGAAAAGGTTGCTTCTTTTGATTATCCATCGATTCTTGTGTCACCTGAATGATCGCTAATCTCTTATGTCTCCACACAGTATGCTTATGACTTGTGATAGTCACTATTCATACAGACTATGCAACCCTCTACGCTCTCGCTAGTTTGACTTAACTACAAGACTTGGGTTGACTTGGGTATCAAGGTTCTGGAGTTAATCTGCTGTACGAAGATATTAATATTTGAAATGGACAATAAATCTTTTGCCGATAATCCAACTTTAGATGTTCTACTTGAAAGGTAAAAATTTTGACAAATGACCTCCATATGTTAGCCGATACTGAAGTGACCCTGGAAGCTTTGAAGCTGAAACTTGAAACAAGAGTTTTAATGATCTAGAGCTTAAAAGCGATATCTATTATTTTTCTGTGCAAATGGATTCCATGGATTTAATGATGAAATGTATAGTTTACACTTCGCTATTTAGACAATTAGCCTAATCGAAGCGTCACTTGTAATTATTCAGATGATTATAAATTTTGATCATGATAGTAATTATCGATTCATCTTTAATAAAACTCATAAATTCAATGAAATACGCATTTTCTTATTACTTTTCTCATAAGAGCTTTAATGATGCATTTCAAGTTTTCCAAGTCAACACATCATTTTAGATTCAAAGTCCTTGTCAAAGTATGTAACCACAAAAAAATGTATCGATGAGACTTTAAATTCCCCATTTGGAAAAGTCAATTCTACAGGGCATTTCAGCTAATTTTCCCGTTGTAAATTGGCTATATCTTTGCTCCTGAGTTACCTAGAGGAAAGATATTTTGTGACTGGAAATTTGGGCGATACTCAATTGTCATATTTCAAGGTCAAGGTCATTCAAGGGCGTTGCTTTATTTGACCTCTAAGTGATATTTGGAGCTCACTTTCTGCAATCTCACATCTTCCTCGCCAGATAATCTTAGTCCCATGTTCATATCTAATCACATTGCAAAGATCAAATTGTGCTTCACTGCAAGTTATGGGCTCACATATCTTTTGACCAGAATAAGTTACGAACATGTCACTAGCATCAACCGATCTGAAAATTTTTGCACTCTTAGAAAATGACCTTCCAATGTCAATTAGAGGTCAAA